GCCCGATCCGGCATCAGGGGATGGAGTCAGGATCCTGGCAGGGATAAGTCAGGGCTCAGGTGGTGGCTATGACAGAGGCTCCATAGGGGGTGAGGACAACAGGTCAGTCTGGGACCAGGGTTGCCAGGTCTTGGTATGGAAGTGAGGGGAAGTCCAGAGTCCCACCAAGCACCCTGCTCTAATGAGCAGAACTTCCCGACACCTGGGACAGCCCCTGGCCCAGCAGCTGACACCAGGCACCAGTCTGGGAAAGCCATGGACCGCGGCATGGGTTTGGGGCGCACGTGTCAGGCCTCTGTTGCAGTCCACATGAGCTGGGTCCAACTCCAAGGGCCACAATAGGTAGGTATGCCTGTCATGGAGTCTGCGTGGGGGCGAGGTAGAGGAAGCCTCCGCCCCATCTCGCACATTCCTGTCCTGTCCTGTCCTGCACCCTGTGCAGCCGCTGGGACTGGAGGGGAGAGTCGGGGAGAGGAGGAGCAGCCGTGGGTATCCTGGGAGAGGCCACACCTTCTCCCACCAGCCAGACCCGGGAGGGTGTGGGCGGAGGGAGGGGAGTTACTGCCCCACTGCGCTGACATCTATATGCTCAGCCACTTCGACAGAGATGGTACATCGTGGCAGGGAGGGTGGGCCTGGCTCACTGGATTCAGCACGTGAGATCCAGGCAGCCAGGACTGGGGCAGTGAGGGCAGAGGCCAAGGGTGCTGGGTCCCGAGGGACCCCAGTCCTTCCCGCCGTCTGCTGCTAAGGAGCTGCCTCTGTCCCCTCCACAGGGATGGATGGAACGCCCGGGCTTCCCAAGCGCATGGGGAAACTGTGCTGAGGGTGTGCATGCTCCTCCCAGAGTCGGTGTGGAAGGGACGGGGCGCGATGACGGAAGAGGGGGAAGTGGGCAGACGGGCTGTCCAGAGGCGAGGTTCACCCTCCGGTGGAGCGGCGCCGTGGGAAGGGAAGCGGTGGCTTTGAGCACCAGGCTTCAACCCGCAAAGGTCTCCCTGACAGTCGGGAGGGCGGGCGTGGGCGGGAAGCGAGGCCAGCATGCGGAGGAGGCAACGGGCCAGGAGAGACACGACAGGGCCTTGACGAGGGAAGGGCAGGGACAGGGACACAGAGGAGTGGGCGAGGCCGAGAGCTCTGCGGGAGGTGGAATGGTGACAGAAGGGGGCTGATTGGACTCTGGACAGAGAAGAAGTCCAGCAGGACCCCGGGTCTCTGGCTTGGATCCACTTCGATCCCAAAGTGAATGGTGCCACTCACTTTGGGTGGAAGGGCAGGAGAGAGGTTCGATGGGAAGATATGAGACCCCAGAGTCCCCGAGTCCCCAGGTCCCCGCACCATGGCAGGCGTGTAGGAAGCACTGGGTAAATGGTCGCTGTGTTAAGGAACAGAGTGAACAAGGCAGAACAGAAAGCGGTGCGGACAAGGGAAGCCAGGAGACAGAGAGGCAGCAACAGAAAGTCAAAGACCCCTGAACGTCAGATCCAGCAGGGACTCCGTGTACGGACGGGGTAGCAGACTGGCCACAGGCAGGAGCCGGCACGGCATAGCAGGTGGCTGGGAGGCGACCCAGGTCTCCAGCCCCCTTGCAAAGCCCTCTGTATCCTCCGCCCCCCACCTGGCCCCACACGCAATGGCTCCCTGGGCTTCCTCCAGCCTCCAGTCTGGTTTCAAATGACCAGCACACGCCAGCGGTGGCAGGCTGCCAGGCCATCTGTCCAACTGCAGGATGAAGGCTGGGGGTGTCTGGCAGCCACGAAGGAGGAAAGATTCCAGGCCACTGCAGATGAGGCCTTGCAACCTTACGCCTGCACACAAGCCGAGAGGCCCGTGCCGGCCTTCCTCCCCACGCTCACAGCCCAAGGGGCCCAGTGCTCTCTGGCCAGCTCAGAGGACTCGGTGGCGTGGGGAAACACCACTGTGACATGGCAACTGAGGCAGCCGCAGGACCAACAGAGCGCCAGAAAGCCTGAGCTCCACGGGATAAGATTCATCTCTCACATGTGCACCAGGTGTTCCAGGTAACAAGGTTCATGCCAAAGCCAATAAGAACCAGGAACCATAAGATGCATCCTGAGTGCCAGGTGCACAGCTTGCCACCTTGCATGTGTTATCTCTGATGCCCTCAGCAACTCTAGGACATAGACAACAGGGCCACCTTTCCACAACTGAGGACACTTGAGGCCCAGAGACATTAAGTAACCTGCCCAAAATGTCGCAGCAGACCAGGAGTCGTGGCTCAAACCTGTAATCCCAGAACTTTGGGAGGCCAAAGGAGGATCATTTGAGGTCAGGAGTTCAAGACCAGCCTGTGTAACACAGTAAGTCCCCATGTCTAAAATAAATTTTTAAAAAATTAGCCGGGCATGGTGGCATGCACCTATAGTCCCAGCTACTCGGGAGGCTGGGGCAGGAGGATCACTTGAGCACAAGAGTTCAAGGCTGCAGTGAGCTATGACTGTGCCACCACACTCCAGCCTGGGTGACAGAGAATGTCACAGCTGCTGAGCGGAGGTGCTAAGCTTCAAACTTAGGCCTTATCACCTTTCAGTCCCTGACAATATAGCACCAGCCCCAGGAAACACTGACTCCTGGCCCAGGACAGTTGGTACCACCACACTACTTGTATTTAGTGAGTTTTCAAAAGCCCAGTAGAACTTATTACATAGGATAATATGCACAGAGGTGTACTTTAAGTGGGAAAACTCTATTATAAATGTAAGGCATTGCTATTATTCTTTTGTTTTTATTCAGGTCACAGATTTTTCTTTGGCCCATTTTGGATTAAGAATAAGCAAACACATTACCATCGATCATCACCGACATTTCATAAAAGAAAACGTATTTTAATGCCAAAAATTGTAGGCAGGACATAATTGTAGAATTATGTGAAATGCAGTCCCCTCAATTGAATACATCCAACACTATGAAAAACCACATTAGTGTTATTGTTTTTCTCACTGCTGAAAATGTCGGGTTTATACTTAGGAACCACCGGCCTAGACGACCTCCAGGGTGCCATTGCAGGTGCACACGTCTCCTGGGAGTCCTCTGTTATGCTTTAAGAAATAAGACTGTCCCTAAGGACCAGAATTTGGTGACAGCCTTCAGCAATATAACTCTGACTAAAATCTACAGCCGTGGCAGGAGAAAAAAGCTTTCCCTCTTATTAAACACACATTTTTTTCCAGCCAGGTCCAGAAGACACTACACGTCTCGTCAGTCGGATTGTGTCTCCGGAAAAGCGACAAACCCTGAGTCAGGTGGCTGCTGTTTTCCACTTCGGGGCTGCCGCTGGGGTTTCCTCTTCCTAGAGGCCCAGGAGGGGTGCTCTGGGCTCTTCTCCTCTCCCGCATTTCTGGGGGACATGGTGGCACCCCGGTATTAATCGTGCTTTCTATGTTATGGTGTTTTGACTTCTTGGGGGCTTGCTGGCCAGGGAGAGACTGTCCCTCCCAGGCCTGGCTAATTCCTAGAGATGATAAGCAACTCCCCTGTGAGTGCACCTTTCCTATGCAAACCAACCGCTTCCTCTGTCCAACCCTCACCCACCAAAGCAATACTCCCCCTGCCCTGAATCAACCCAGGGCCAGCTTCCAGATAAGGACAGGCCACCACTGTAGCCCAGAGCCCTCAATGCTAAAACTAGCCCAACCCAAGCTGTTCCCCCACCTCCACCCCGTTTCCTGCAGAAACCCCGGCACAGGCTCTGGGCTTGGCTTGACCCTCACTCCTCTGCCTCCCGACCAAACCTCGTGCCCCATGGCCCTGCGTAGTGTGCCCTTTCTTTCGGAAATTGTACTAAAAACCTTCTTCCAACAGCGTTGGCCTCTCCACTTGGTCACTCATTGCCCTGGCCTGATGCCTTGTGGCCTGAGCTTTGGGGTGTCCCTGACAGACATTCATGTCTACCAGCCGCTGAAGGGCCTTGCCTGTGAATTGCCAGGGAATGTTAGCTAGAAACAGAGAGAGCTTCTCTTCTGGGGAGGCCTGTGCACCCCCCGGGGCCGGCCCCCAGGCTGTGGGAAGGCTGGAGCTGTAGGCGCCCTCCAAGTCCGCACAGCAACTGAGGCACGGGCGAGCTGGCAGGGAGGCCTCAGGGCCTGGGGACAGGGTGAGCAGAGTGGACTCGGCCCCCCAAAGCCACAACCACAGATAGAAAGAGCAGCAGAGAGAATTAAGGAAAGTTCTGAGCGCACCCCTGCCCCCAAACCCACACACAGACTCCTCTCCCCACCCCCAGCCTCGTGGGAAACCCAGTACTGGCAACGGCCAAGGCACCTGCTCGGACCCCGCCCAGCACTCAGAGCATCCAGGGAATATGTCCCGAAGTGACCATGTCAGCAAACTGACACATCTTTACCAAGTCTCTCCTGGACCCAATCCTAGACTCGTCTCTGAGAACACACAGGCAGAAGGAACTGGAGACGCCTGTATGACACAGCAGGTGACAAGGACTCGGGAGGCCCCAGAACCCAAGCAGAGGCCCCTGGCTCTGCAGAGACGGCCTCTTCGTGGTGGGATTTTAAGGCTCATGGCCCCTGGGACAGCTTAGAGTGGGGTGCCTCTGACCTCAGGCATCAGGGCTCCATCCTGGAAGGCAGTCACCCACAGGCGATGATGGTCACAGAGGCACCAGGGGGCTGGCTCCATGCTCCCACCCTCCTCTCTGTCCACGTGCAAAAGACACACGCCATGTGGGTTTTCCATGGTCCCATCTGCTCTGCTGGGCTCACCTCCCGCCCACAACCCTCCGCCCTCACTCTGGCCCTGACACCCGAGCTGCCAGCGTGGGGGAGCTCAGCAACCCCAGGGGCTGGCTCCTGGGGCATGGAGTGGCTCAAACTCAGGATGAGTGACCCCAGGCCTCTGGCCCTGTCTTCGGTCAAGACAGTGAGGATCCTACATCCTTCTGGGCTCTGGGTGAACCAGAGGGGACCCACCCCAGGGAGCCTGGACCCATCTCAGGGGAAGAAGGGACTCCTGTGGGGATAACTCACGCTGCTTCTCCTGGAGGATGCTGGACGTGCACGGCGCAGCGCCTTCTCCTGCAGAAAAAGGAAAGAATCGTGAGCAGAGCCTGCCACTGCTGCCCGGTGAAGTGGGCAGGGGCGGGGAAGCCTGTCCCGCTTCCCTGCGCTTCCTGGGGGGCCCCTGCGGCTGCCTCTGCCCGTCCCCTCCAGCCCACCTTCATTCCACCCCCGGAGTTCACCAACACAGGTGCCACCTTCAGCCCTTCAGGCCACACCCTAGCACCGGTGCTAGGCACGTGGCCAACTGTCATGAGAGGCGGAGGGGCGAGGAAAGAGGAGGGAGAGATTCATTCCTACTGAGGTGCCCAGGGAAGTCCTCGGCAGAGCGAAGAATTGAACTTCAACAGGAAAGGAGAGAAAACAGCAAGGCCAAGTTCAAGGAAAAGCAGAGGTGTGAGAGGGTCTAGCCCTGAGCAGCAAGCCCATTTATAGATGAGAAAACTGAGGCTTGAAGAGGCAAAAGGACTTCCAAACTCTTCTGAATCCAAATGCTTGTTCTACTACACCCCAATCCAGCCACATAATTAGCAGGGCCCATTGCAGAAGGGAGATGCAGGGGCTCTGATTTAAAAAGCAAGGAAAAAATGCTGTTAAAGGTACTATTAATAAAATATAAAGCTTTTCCTTTTTCCCGGGGACTCTCTTGACCCGTCGTGGTGTTTTCTCTTTGCTACTTAATGTTGTGCACAGGGACACCCTCAGGGTGCGTGCAGACCCTCGCAGGCCCCAGGGTCCCCGCTCCTCAGCGTGGTGCGCATGTATGCAGGGCTCACCCGTGCCCAGGCCCCCCTCCTGCCAGCCACTGGCCCCCACACGTCGTGCTGTGAGCAGGAGCCGGAAAGCGGAGCATGGATCTGCCCTTCCCACAGGCCCACTGCCCTAGTCCAGGGCAGACAAGAGTACTGCCACCTCCACATCGAAATGCACCAGGTAGGGAAAAGGCTTGTTCCCTCTGAGTCACCCTGGGAATGTGCCGTGGCGCTGCCAGCCCAGGGTGGGATATGAACACCTGACCCCAACCCTGCCCATACCCAGGCCCCTGCTGGGAGGGACAACGACAGCTGCCCAAGGGCAGGGCAGGGAGGAGGAAGCTGGGTGGGGCCAGGGAGCTGGGGGGGGCAGGCGGGACCACGCATGAGCAAGCTCCAAGCCCCAACACGTGTCCACTGTCCCATCAGAGTTGTTTACAGAACACAAACCTCAAGACATTACTGAGAGTTCAGAACAGTAAAGCCCACTCTCCCCCCGGGCCCTCTGGGGCACAAACCCTGACTACAACGCAAACACCTCTGGCATGTCTTGGCACCTACTATGTGCCAGGCCTTGGCGGTGGGGGCAGGGAGAGTCCAGCTGAGGGGCAGGCCAGGTCTGAGTCACCCCCTCCGTGTTCTCACGCCAGGCCCCCGCGAGCTACTCCCTGAGACTGTTCAGGAGTATCGATGCCACTCCATACCCTCATTCCCAGACAGTAAACATGACTTGAGCCTGGGCAGGCTTTCCGAGGCAGGCATGCACGGTAGGCAGTGGGCGAGCCGCAAGAGCTGGCGTTGCCAGGGACACAGCGAGCAGAGGCGGGAAGAGGCCAGGAGGTGAGCGCCCCTGAAACACAGTGGGTAGGATTCACGCGGGTGAGCACAAGGGAGACGTCAGGGAAGGAGGCCAGAGCCAAGCTCTGGGGACTCCACAAAGCCAAGCACGAGCGCGGCCTCAGTTGTGTGAACTGTGAGGGCCGTACCTGGGCAGGCAGGTGCTTTCCCGCACCTGAAGTCACGGAGATTTCTCACCTGTGTGCAGAAGGCCCCCTTAGCAGATAAGGAAACTGAGGCTCAGCAGGATATAGTTGCTAATTTAGTGTACAGATCTGGTCCCTTGGACACCCCAACTCTGGTGACGGTTCTTCCCCGACCTCCCCCGCCCCCAATAGGTAGGGGGGCTTGCTGGATCGGGGGCTTGCTGGGACAGCTCCCACCTGGGCAGTACTTCCGGGGTGGGGAGGCAGCAAGAGGCTGTGACAAGGGGGGATAAGGAGTGGGGGGATGGGAGCGGAGAAGGGGGTGTTTGCAGGGTGCTGAGGAGATGCATCCAGATGCTCGGGGTCTGACCACAGTTCCCCTTGGGCGTCATCTCCTCTGCAGTGAGGCCTGGCCCAGGGACACCCAGGGGTCCTGGGGCTGGCCAGGCCACCAGCCTGGGCAAGATCGAGCCTGCTGCTTGACAAGGTAAGTGTGGGGCCCGCACAGCTAGAAGCCCAGGCCAGCTCCCTCTTCCCTGGAAGCAGCTGGCCCAGCAAGGAGGAGTCGGCGTGAACCCGGCTTCCTGATTAACAGGCTCCCAGGACGCGGGAAATTAACCAGCTGTGCAGCTGGTGCAGCCGCCGCCTAAATGAGACCCCACTTAGCCCGGAGCGTCCAGGGCCCCTGGGCCCGACAGCCTCGCCTCAGCCGGAGCCTGCGTGAGAGCAGGAGCTGCCAGCGACGCCTGCAGACAGGACGGCTGCACAGACGGGGCTGGGGCCCACTGCCCTGCCGGTCCCAAACTCGCACAGCCCCAGGAGTCTGAGCCACACCACCGCCTCCAAGAAGATGCTTCCACGTCCCGCTGAAGGTTTCCTGAGTGGTTTGGTAACTCCTCTTCCCAGTCCCCTTCCAACAAACTGCGAGCTCCCCAAGAGCAAGAGAAGCCAAAGGTGTAGTCAAGAACAGAAGCAAATACAGAATGTTTGGGAATGCCAAAAAAAAAAGAAAAAAAAAAAAAAAAAAGAACAGAAGCACGTCCAACACCCCTCTGAAACAGGACATCGGAGGGGGGAGCTGGGTGCTGCTGGGAGAGCAATTCAGGCAGAGGGGGGCCTTGGGGAAGAAAACCTGGGGCTTCTCCTCCCCATACGCCAGGTGGTGTCTGGGCAGACCCCCCCACCGGGAGCAGGGCAGGAGCAGCTGAAGCCAGGACTTGCAAGGAGCTCTGCCTTTGCTGGGCCCCGGGCCAGCCTGGTGCGCTGGTCCCTGACTCGAGGTCCAGAAGGAAAGACCCGCACACTCCCTGCCTGCCCGGGTGTGTCCCAGCACCTGATTCTCCGCTGGGCTGCAGGTCAAGATTCAGGCTCCTTACCTCCCACCTGACCCATTGCGACCCCCACACTCATTCCCCAGCCCCTCCTGTTATCTTCCATGTTGGCTTCCAGAATAATCTTTCTAAAGGCCCCAACTCCTCAGCTGGACATTCAAGGCCTTCGTCTCCAGCTTTTCTGCCCCTGCCTCTTCTCCACGACCTCCCACCTCCAGCCCCACATGTCAGCCCCAGCCCAATGCCCAGCCTCCGTCAAGATAAGCTCTGCAGTTCTCCATATCCCCTGCTGTCTCTCACCTCCCTCCACACCTTCGCCCCTGCCATTCCCTCGGCCTGTTTCGTCCTCACTGGTCTGCCCTGACCTGGGCAAAGCCCCCTCGGCCGCTCTGACTCTGCGATCCCACTGCACTGTGTCCCCACTCTCGCTCCAGCAATTCATCCACAAACTGCCACCACCCCACCCCCAGT